AGATTCCAACTTCTACCGCTAGTTCTCGTGTAGTTATATGAGGATTTTCATTAATAAAATCCTCCACCCTTCCAATTGTTTCTGGGGTGACAGCATCATGGGGACAACCAGAACGAATTTCGTCTTTAATGGTTTGCTGGCCCAGTTCAAATGCCTCAATCCAGCGATAAATTGTACTTTTAGACAGTGCTTTGTCTCCCTCTACAACTATTAGCTTTTTATGAATATCAGCAACTGAAGTGCCATTCTTCCATTCAACAAAAATATAGTAACGTTGATGTTCACGAGTAGAATTTTCCATTTGTTTTTGATGAGGAAATTCAAAAAATATTTTTTTATGAACCAGTCAATCAAATTTCGCCAATTTTTTTTCCTCAAATATATCGATGGTACTACTTTCAGTAAATCATAACTTTGTTTAGGTATACCCACATATTATTGAGTAATACAATGATTCTCATTACTTTTCAGCCATACCACGTAGTTGAAGGCTCTGATACAATTTTTATTTATATAGTTTTTATATATGGGGCAGACTGCAACAAAACCAGACAAAGTTAACATTTGTATTACCAAGGATTTCAGGGGTCAATAATATTTGTTTGACATCACAACTGTGTTACCAATGTAATGTGATCACAATATTCATCTAGACAAAATATTTAATTTACATCAGATCTACTATGGAACCCAAGGATTATAGCACCATTAGAAGAAAGAATAAGGGGAGAAAAATTGCTCCTTACATTTTCAAAATAAATGATACTCAGACACTAGAAACTTATCTAAAAAAAGAAAGGGTTGCTTATGAAATTTACCAAGAAGAAAGAGTTTTCAAAAGAGTATTAAAGAATTCTAGTAAAGATTCAAAAAAAAAAGAAAACTGGCAGAATAACAAATAATTACTTTTTTTCAACTTTGTTACTTTTTTAATTACCTTTTATTTTCAATCAAGGTCATTTTTTAGTTTCTTTAACTTCAATTTGAGCAACTTGTTGAGAAGTTAACTGTTCTAACTGAGTCTTTAACCTTTTGATTTCCTTTTTGTGATTATCATTCTCTTCTTCTAACTGCTTAATTCATCTAATGATTCTTGCTTTTGTCTCTTACTTCACTCCTCAGACTTTTCTTGAAATTCGACTACTTCTTCCCTTTCAATTTCTAAGGCTTCTTCAGTCTCATTTAGTTGTTCTTGTAGGGGGTTTATTTGTCTTTCATAAAAAGTAGTCTGACTTATTTCTTCATGAAGTAAGGGAGGAAGTTCCTTCTCTTCTAAATCTTAGAGGTTGGAATCGTCCAAAAAATCCTTAGTCAACTATTAGTTGGTCAAAATTTCTTTTAGTCAACTAAATTTTTTTAATACTAGTGTGTAACCATTTGCTTCGCAAAATGGTCACACACTAGTCATGGGAATAACATCCTATTTAATTAGAATATTCATTCTGTTTCATTATTATTAACGTTTTTTTTTAATTTGCAGATTACAAATTCATCTCCATTTGAATCTTTAATTTTTCGAAATACTTCCATACGAAGCTATATGTTATAATTCATTTTTTTAAAGGTCTGGAACCACTGCTTGAGCTCAAAGCCAACGAATTGTTGGAATGATTTGACCTTGTATCAATGTTTATTATTTCGCATGGATAATTATCGCCAACACCAGCACCAACACCACCATTATCATCTTCTTCATAATATTGATACTCTGCATATTTATTTTTATTATTTTCCATTAAATTTTTTTGTACCACAAAAAACGTTTTCATTTATAATTGGCCAGACAATAATTATAATTAGTATTAGTCGACTATTAGTTGTTTAAAAAAAAAGTTAGTTGACTAAATTAGTTGACTATTTTAGTTGATTCCAACCTCTACTAAATCTTCATTGTTTCTAATACAGTAAACATTCTTACCATTAACAATATCAAAATCTAACTTAGTTTGCAATCTACCACATCTATTGCATTTTGACAATTCATTGTCCCAATACAGCTCACAATGATAATCCTCATTGTCTGGGTGGATGGGAATCAAAAAAAATCTCTAAGCATCATCAGATTAATTGTTTTTCCAAATCATCTTGGCTGAATGACAAGGGAAACTTTTGAATTGCATTCAATGAATTCAGCAGTCAGGGATATTTTGTCAAGAAAAGTGTAACCTCCATTCACAATTTTACTGAAGTTGTCCCAGCCAATGGGAATGCTTCTTCCTGCAAAGAGAATAGCAGTTCCTCCTATGATAGTATAAAAAAAAGGATTAGTCTCTGGTATAAAAAAGAGTAAAGAGAAATAAAATAAGGAATAATGCACATACATATCATGATTTTTTGTTTTTTTTTTGGTGAAGGTGACCATGGTGGCTCTAGAAGAAATGATTGATTAGAATGATTTCACAAATTACGGAAAATACTCTGAGAGTATATATCTTCTTTATTCTGCAAATATTTACCTTCTTCTGTACATGCTCTCTTCAAGGTATCTTCAGCCAATTTTTTATTATTTGTTTTTCTTATACTTCTCATGTCTGTCTGGCTCAACTATATTTAAATAATGTATCCTGTAGTATAATTGATCATCTTTTTTTTTAAAAATATTCATTATTTACATCTTTAAGTCTAATTTTATTAATAGTATAATCAGTTAACTTCTAAACTCATTATTAGTGTTGGTACAACACATGGACCACGATTTTTTGGAGGCATCTTTAATTTTAATGAATTTGTTCAATTTAGTTTTTAATTTAAGAGAATATTTGTACGTATTTTTGATAAATAATTTAATCAAATGCATCACTAGTCGCACGACAAATTTTGTTAGATGGGGGGTCTTTGTTACATTTTAGATTATTTCTAAATTTGGAAATGACTTGTCCCTATTTAGAAACAATTTAGATCAGTTCAGTTTTATAAAACTAGTAAAATTAAATAAAATTAAAAATTAATCAAAATGAATGTTTTTCGACTTTTAGCAGATTTGATGCATTTAGCATCAATTTTCATTATCTTGTTAAAGATTCAAAAAACAAGATCATGCTCTGGTATGTTTTTATGCATTATAATTCAAGAGGTTATTTATTATTGATGTTCTTGTTAATACATACTTCTTCACATCCAGGTATTTCATTTAAGACACAACTACTTTATGCAATAGTCTTCATTACACGTTACTTGGACTTGTTTACAACTTGGATTTCATTGTACAACACTTTAATGAAAATTTTCTTTATAGCTACGTCAATTTACATTTTATATTTGATGAAATACAAGTTCCGAGCAACTTATGATCCAACTTTAGATACACTTCGTATAGAATTTTTGTTAGGACCAAGCTTAATACTTGCTTTATTGCTTAACTATCGTTTCATATTCCTTGAGGTAAAAGTTAATTTATTGATAATTTAATTGGATTGATTTTTTACCACAGAAATATTATTAATTAACTAATACAACCAATCAAACCAATTCTCAAAAGATTTTGTGGACATTTTCAATTTATCTTGAATCTGTCGCTATTCTACCACAATTATTTATGCTTTCACGTACTGGAGAAGCTGAAACAATCACAACACATTATTTATTTGCGCTAGGTGCATATCGGGCACTTTATTTATTGAATTGGTTATGGCGTTTCCAATATGAAGGATATACTGATTGGATTGTTTGGATCGCTGGTGCCATCCAAACAGCTTTATATAGTGATTTCTTTTATATCTATTATAAAAAGTAAGTAAAATTTTTTTTTAAAAAGACGTCTGACGAATTAACCAATTAGTGTTGGAAATTATTAATTGTTTTTACTATTAACATTTTAGTGTGTTACATGGAAAAAAATTTGAAATACCACAGTAAGTTTAGTAAAATATCAGTTTTTTCAAACATTCATTTTTTTTTATTTTTTGACAATTAGTCGATTGATTATTTTGAAAATTTTCTCTTAGGAATGTCGTGTAAATTCAAATATATATATATATTGGAGAAATTATTAATTTAATATTCAAAATTTTTATTTTATATTTAACATTAATATTTAATATCTATAAATATGCAATTATTATTACTAATTTTAATTAAAGTATTTTTTATAAGTGTATAATACACACATAGAATACGAAGTCATATGAATTATTATCATCATCATACATTTAGAAAATTGTGTAATTTATTCAAGAAAATTTCTTTTATTAGTAAATAAAAATTTCCATTTAACAATTATCTTTTAGTCTTTTAGTCTTTTAGTAGTAATGCTTGATAGTAAAGGATGATATTTTTCAAACTACTCTTAACGTGTCTGTTCTTACCCAATTTACTCCAAGAATTATTATCTCCAATCGCTATTTCAAATGACATTGATGCAGTAAACATATAAGAGGGTGCTCCGTATCCCCTAGCAGGAATACGGGCGAGGTTCCATCCTTGTTTCCCAAGTACAGAGCGGACATTATAGGGGAGAATTGGTTCCGGAGCACCCAAATCTATAACAGATTTATATAATTTCTTTCTTTCAATAGGATCATGAAAATTGTGATAATAACATCAATTCTAATTCCTAATAACTCAAGAGCTGATCCAGTAATTCCTATTAATATAAATTGATCAAAGTATAGACACTAATGCAAAGGGTATTTTTTGGAATCAGTGACAAAAAGGAAGATATGTTCTCCAATATTTTTACATTTATTGTGTTCTTTCTCTACAAGACCTTTTTCTAGCGTTTTTGGTGAATTGCCATTAATCACTCTTTTGCGACTGACTACCTGTTGCTTATCCTGGACAAGGATTGGTGGTGTTATTTTAAAGTGGTTGATAATTTTGCATAAAATAGTAATATAATAATTATTGAATTTTTCTAATAATATAATGAATAATATAATTGTAATAAAAAGAAAGAATTATAATTTATATATATAACTTTTAATTGTGTTGTTAGGCTTGTGAGAAGAAAAAAAATTTTTTTAAGGAAAGATACATACATCCAGTTGAAATCAATTCGAATTTCTATTAAAAGACGAAAAAAATTCATTATCATGAGTTTTTGAATAAATCTCCCATCCATCACTCCTTATGGTCGTTGGATATTATGATTCATGAAATATGGGTATGTAAACTCACCTTCCTCCCCCCGGTTAAACCCAACTAATTCGACTTTTAGCTCCCCATTATGTATCTCATTTAGGCTTGAGAAGAATGTGAGGTTTGCCCCCACTGTCACTAATTGTTCAATATTTGTAATAATGTTATTGTCAAACAATCCTGATTTACCATAACCTTACTGCTACAGAGATTACCAAAGAGTAGATTGGCACAATGAAGCATTGAAAGTATTTTTTAACTTGTTCAATAACTTGCTGCCATTTTTCAGTTGAAAGAGAAATATTAAAAAGTGGTTCACCATCAACATAGTCCATAATATTTACACGCCATTTGTAAATGTCTGAATTTTCTTTGCCAGCATACAACAACTCTGGTGCCCATTCATCATTTGCACAAAATTTACATATTTATTCACCAACTCCAAGTTATCATCCGATTATAGTAATAAAGAGTAAGATCGAAACAATTAATAGTTAATACTAAATATGAAAATAACCTTAATACAGTGCATAATGTGATAAGCCATCGAATCTACCAAACACACAGGCGGATCTTTCAATTGAAGACGAATCTTTCCATTAGTGATATTATGTTGTACTATTTATTATAATAATACCACTACCATGTATTTCTTTGTTCTCCACTTTTGCTGATTTCTAGAAAGCTCTCTGATAGAAATTATCTAACCGTACTACATATTAATGTATATAAAAGAGAGAAATGTTATTAATGTTTGTATAATAATAATAATGATTTTTAAAATAAAAAAAGTACTTTTGTACAACAATTGATTGATCTGCTAATAAAATAAATGTATTTCAGTACACATTACGTGCATTATACGCGGAATCAAAACATACGGAATTAACGTATTTTTTATACGGTTTTGAAAAATTACCCCTTTCAAATTTAGCAGAATTGATACGAAATCAGAACAGAGTTTGTAACATACTGAAAAACCGTATATAAGGAAGGTACGTAATTTGTGACATATTCATACTAATACTGGAAATGTTCATTGATGAGTTCTGTACTTCCTCAGTCTGTTCTTTGTGTGGTGGGTGGTTTGATAAGGCATCAAAGATTCTGGTCTGTCTGACACATTGGAATCGAGATGTTAATGCTGCCCATAACATAAGGAACATTTTTTGCACCTGATCCATTTATAAGGAGGACTTACTGACCTCTTTGCTTGCCATTTAACTGTAGCAGAATATGTCTAGCTGGAAGCAGCAGCAATGATGACTTTCTACGAAGCCACAATTAGCTATAGGGAGGGAGGATTTTCTGATTTAGTGTAATAAGGTTTACTTGTTAATCGTCAAAAGTATTTTATAAGATGTATTTTTGTTGGAAATAAATTTTTTTATCAAATATGCATTCTCTAATTATTGTAGTAATTTCCGGAAGCTAAAAAACTGTTGACTGTATTTTTTTTTATTTTTTCAGTAAGATCAAGCTTAGGCATTTCTGAAGTTACAGCAACATAAAAGATTATTAATCTACATTACAATATCTTAAAACTAAACCAAAAATTCAAGTTGTTAAAATAGATTTTATTTTTAGTGAACTTAATAATTTTGACTTTTGATGTTCACGTTTGAAACAATATCTTGTAAAGGGGTATATGTGCATTCATTCTAATCTATATATGAAAAATGAAATGAGCAGTTTTGGGAAAATTAATAATGTTACACGTGATTATATTTATATTTGAATCCCTTTATTTTATATTAATATTTTTTTTTCTTTTTTTTAAAAAAAACAATACTTGATTTACTGCCTATTATTTTGTGGGAAAGCTTGTTACAAACAAATAAACTATTAATAAATTTTTGGAGTGAACAAAACGTCGTCCCCAAAGTATAAAAAACGCAAAATTGAATCAATGTCGGATCTTTCTGACGAGGAGGCAATGTATGAGGATTCCTATCAGGATTCTGGTATTATATTAATATTGATTACTATTTGGCATTATATACATACATACATACATATATAAATAAAACCATCAAAGAAAAAAATGGTGGTATACTTTGTATAAATAAATTAATCTAACAAAATCTTAAATTTTCAAAATAATATATTCTTTAATAAACAAAAGATGGATTCGTAGGTGACGATGATGATGATGATGCTGAAGAATATGTAGATGAAGATGAGGTAGATTTAAACTTTTCAGAAGTAGTCCCAGAAAAAGATCGTAAAAAAAGTTACCAAGTAGATTTTAAAGTTCATTCCGTTAAAGACATTGTTAAGAATCAGGAAGATGAAATTTCTCATGTATCTATTATTCTTGGCATCCAAAAACAACATGTTGCTACTTTACTTCGCCATTTTCGTTGGAATAAGGAAAGACTTTTAGAACGTTACATGGATGAAGAGAAAGGTGTTTTGGATTCAGCAGGAGTCATAACTGATACGATTAAGGCACCAAAATTTATGAAATCGTCTGGTTTCATTTGTGAGATTTGTTGTAATGATGATAGAAATACGGTCACTATAGCTCTATCATGCGGACACAGATTTTGCAAAGATTGTTATGAACATTATTTGACACAAAAAATCAAAGAAGAAGGTGAAAGCCGTAGAATATTGTGTATGGCAAATAAATGTAATGTAATTGTTGATGAAACGACCGTTGAAATGTTGGTTGATAAAGATATAAATGAAAGGTAAATTATAATCGTTATTACTATTGTTATTGTTATTAAATATTTGTAATAGGAGATTTTTTTAAATTATATATATGCTTATTTATTTCTAATCAATAGATATCGAAACTTACTGAATCGGACATACGTTGATGATAATGAAAATCTGCATTGGTGCCCGGCTCCGAGTTGTGAATATGCAATTGAATGTCATGTTCCACAAGCTTCACTCACCACCATTGTTCCTACAGTTGAATGTCATTGCTGTCATCGTTTTTGTTTTGGTTGTGGTTTACCAGACCATCAACCATCTATTTGTGCGCTTGTTAAAAAATGGATTAAAAAATGTGAAGATGATTCAGAGACTGCAAATTGGATTTCTGCTCATACAAAAGAATGTGGGAAATGCCATTCAACAATTGAAAAGAATGGTGGGTGTAATCATATGACTTGCCGTAAATGCAAGTATGAATTCTGTTGGGTTTGTATGGGTCCTTGGTCGGAACATGGAACTAGTTGGTATAATTGTAATCGGTTTGATGAAAAAAATAGTATTGACGCAAGGGATTCACAAGCAAAATCCCGAGCATCTCTTGAGAGATATCTTCATGTAAGCGTATATATATATATATATATTTATATTTATATTTATATTTGTATTTTTATTATTTATATTAATTGATTTTTTTGTATATAAATATATAGTATTACAATCGTTTCGCTAATCACGAGCAATCTGCTAAACTTGATCGAGAACTATATAATAAGACTGAAAAGAAAATGGAAGAAATGCAACAAACTTCTGATTTATCTTGGATTGAAGTCCAATTTTTGAAGAAAGCTGTTGATATTCTTGTTCATTGTCGTATGACTCTTAAATGGACATATGCTTTTGCCTTCTACCTAACGCGCAACAATGAAACAGCAATTTTTGAGGATAATCAACGTGATCTCGAAGTAGCAGTAGAGCAACTTTCAGAATTATTAGAAAAACCTATTGATCCTGATAAAATCAGTGAATTAAAACAACAAGTATTAAATAAGACAGTGTATGTTGGAAGTCGAAGGGAAGTACTATTGGAAGATACTGCTAGAGGATTATTAGACAATCGATGGGAATTCCAGGTAGACATAACAAATTAAATTGCATGTAATCTTATACTGTAACAATATTGATCGATTTTACACATATGTGATGCTAGTTATTGTCAAAAATCGGATCAAAGAACTTTTTACTATACACATGTGTATTTTGGGTTATAGTTAGTTAGTTGACTGTTTTTTTAGACATCTAAATAATCTTTTTAACAATTAATGGATATTTACAATTATTTATCACATTAAAGATTTAGAATTTGTAATTAATATTAATTTATATATATGTTTCCTTTTTCTTCTTTACCGTACATAGAATATGATTTTATATCAATAAATTTGTAAGAGTAACCAATCAAGATATATATAATATAAATAGGCATACTCCCTATTAATCCATTAATCACATACATATATAAAATTTATATTTAATATTTTTTTTTTTTGTTTTTTTTTTGTAAAAGTATCTTTTGACATTTGTGAAATTTTTTGTAATGCGAATGTCTTTCCAAAAAGGTATTTCCATTTCTTTCATGGGTAAGGTATTTCAGCAAAAAATTAATCTCTCATTGGGAAAGACTTAGTATATATGTATAGTAAATAGTATGGTATTACTTGTATATCAGCGCCTTCAAAGAAAGATTCAATTACTCATGGAAAAAATTCATATTTTCAATAATTAGCTTCTTAAATTGGAAACTAATTATATTATGAAACTAATTAAAAAAAATGCAATCATAATAAATATTGCAATCATAACAAAACTACATTTCATAAAATCAATACCGCGTTCGAATTGTCTTTAGCTCCTGACTTTAAAACATACATAGACAGGTCAATATTGGTGTGTAGGATAACTTTTGCACACACACAAGTTGTGTTAACTTGATGTTCTTCGATTTTGACTTTGAAGTTAAAAACGCGCTTTAGTGTCCGAGGTTAATATTGGTATGTATTACATAGTGACAGATTTAGGTACAGGTTTTATAAGATTTAATTTTGAAGTTGAAGCTTTAAAAATGATAAAACAAAGATGCTAAATTCTTTTGTCGTTGAGTCAATCACTATGGTTTGATAAAAAATTTTTTTTGGCGTTGAAGTTGTTCTTTGAATAATTCAAATTTTATGTTACCCGGAGATGTTGATTTTTCATTATTTCGTTCGACGTGCACTAATAAATTATTAATTAATATTGTCACCGATTAATTTTGGGAGAGCGAACTTAATCGATGACAATAAAGATAATAGGTGAATTAGTTTTGGGTATAATTTGATTATTTCTCAAATCGAAACAGTTATCTTTAAAGTAGTGATGTCAGTCGATGAAAAATTCCCAGCGATTGACTAAAAATTTAATTTTCATAATCAGATAGTTCGCCATTATTGTTATTACCTAATTGTCCACCACTACTATCATTACTTATTGTCATTATTATTTAAAGTATTAAAATTTAAGAACATCAAATTCTGATCAAAAACACGCAAACTCAAACTTGACCTATCTGTTAATATTTTTAAAGGTTCACTATTACTAATATCATTATTATCATTATCATTAAACTGTT